GGCTGGTAAAGAGAAGCACAGTGACAGGCTGTCCTCTGTCAGGAAAACACACATACACACACCAAATCCAGTAGTGCACTTTTAACGGTCTGGTCAGTTTCTTACAAAGCTGTAACTTTAATGCAGTTTTAATTAAATGTCATCATTTTTTCATGGCCCTTGAAAGTCGGATCCCGGCCCTCAGATGGCGGGTGTAAGACTGCTGGTGACGGGCGATCAGGGTCGCCTGTGTTTAGAGGAAATGCAAACGATACAGAAGTTTATTTCTGTCTCAGAGAGAGTCAGGTCCAACAGTAGGCGGGTCGTCCAGATTCAGCCTTCCTGCCGCATCCAGGAGGTGCCTTCTGCCCTCAAGGTCCTGCAGTGCTCGCCAGATCCCCTGCAGCTGCTCTGAGCTTCCGAAGCAGCAGGGAGGGCAGGCAGGAGAGCCAGCTCAGCGAGCCTCCTGGGCCACGCCTCCAGGGCCACTGGCCTGGTCACATTAGACAGCTGCGTTTCATCATCCAGAACCCGGTCCAGGGCCACGTCTTGCTGCGCAGGAAGCTGGGGCTCTCAGGAGGGAGGGAAGGAACATGGGCCTGCCACCGCAATCTCTGCTGCATGTGGGATCTGTGGTCTGCGAACAGTCCTGGACCTACGGAGTGTGGTTATGCACAAAGAAAAGCAGGCCCTTGACTCGGCCCCCAGAAGCGCATTCCAGCTAGATGAAGGAGCTGAACGTGAAGAGTGGCTGCTGATAAGTTGTGTGGCCTCTGCTGAAGCAGGTTTCATAATCAAGGCATAGAAAGCCCAAATTAGAAAGAAAAACATGAATAAATTTGACTAAATTAGAAATTTAAAACTTACCAAAACCCCCTTAGGTATAGTGGGAAGAAAAAGCCACAAAGGGGAAACGGGATTCTGACTTCTGATGAGAACTCAGCTGATAAAGTTCCTACAACTCAGTAATACAGAGGCACCTGCTGGGGGTCTCTGCTGGGGAGATGTGAATGTTCTGGGTCTTGTTGAGATGGGGGTTACACACGTGAGCATCGGGCTCCCCCCACACACTTCTCCAGGACTCTGCGACGCCTCCTGGAGCTCACGCAGACCCCGCAGAGTACGGGCTCGGCCTCACGGGACTGCTTCCTCCAGACGCCAGTTGTAGGAACTGGGCGCCAGGGTACCCACATTCTGTCTGACTCGGCCACGCGTCTGGGGTTTCGAGGACCCCCTCCTTGGGTTCAGTAATTTGCTAAGAGAGCTCGCAGAATGCAGGGAAGACGATTTACTTAGCACTTACCAGTTTATTAGAAAGAATACAGCTGGGGAACAGCCAGGTGAAAGAGTCGCACAGGAGAAGGGTTTGGGGCTGTGGCGCCTCCCTGCTGTCCCGCACACCTCCCCTCAGCACCTGGCTGTGAGCCCCTCCGCTGGGGGGCCGTTGTGCAGATTTCCATTACTGGGCATAAGTCCCTGGTCCCTGGTAACCAGCCTCCACCCTCTGCCCTCCCTGGAAGTGGGGGTGGGGGGGTTGGGCTGAATGGGCCGGCCCTCCAGTCCCCTGGACCAGCCCCCATCCTCCTGGAATCACTCAGTAGCATAGGCTCAGGTATGCTTGGGAGGGGTTGTTACTGTCACACCAGCCGTGGCCGGGGGGGGGCTAGAAAGGTCCAGAAATGCTGTGGTGACCAGGATGCTGCCAGCTGGCTGCTGTCCTGTCCCTGCCCCAAGCGAGTGAGAGCATCCTGGGCGGCCCCTCTGGAAGGCGAGGCCGCCCGTGTCCCTTACAGAGGGGCACAGCCATGTTCCACAGACGTCCCCATCGGATGGGAGAGCATAGGATCGGGGCAGTGGGCAGGCTGGACATTGGGAGGGAGGAGCAGTCCTGCAGCTGGGGGCCAGCAGGTGCCATCTGTTTGACTGGTGGGGGCCAGTGATGAGAGTGAGCCACGGGGCGACGCACAGCGCATCCTGTCGAGAAGGAGCGGGGGTCTCGGTTCCGAGGACCACAGCCTCTGTGCCCTCAGCTGCGTGGAGGGAGGGAGGGAGGAAGCAGGGACCTCCTACCTGAGTGGGGGGGGAGGGGCTGCCGCCCTCCACTCTTCCTGTGTGGCAGACTCAGAGGCAGCCCAGAAGGGGGAGCAGGGCAGTGGGGAGGAGAGGGGCCCCTGTGTGCTTCCCTGGAGGCTGTGGGTGGGCACAGAGAAGCTGCACCAGGGGACCCAGCTGGGCAACCCTGCTCTGAGCCCTGGCCTCCCAAAAATCACCTGGGGAGGGGAGAGAGAGGCCGTTGCACCTGGGTACCTGCTTGGTTCTTACTAGTATCACCCATCACCCAGCTGCGGACCCCTGCGCCCTCATGAGGGGGGTTGAACCAGGCACCAAGGTGGAGGTAGGTGGGTGTGCACACCTGGCCCGCGTCTTTGCAAAGGTTTGCTTGGGGACGTTGGGTGCTGGGAGCCTGGCTGCATCCACCCTCCCAGCCCTCCCTGTGCTCTGTAAGGTGCACTGGCAGGAGCCCGGCTGCAGAAGTGGCTGGCGACCCACGCGTTCCCACCCAGGGCCTCCACAGAGCAATCGTGGCTGCTAGAGTTCTTTCACGAAGCATGTGTTCAGAATTAATGACTCGGCACAAATACAGGGCTCTGCAAGATCACTGTTTTAGAGTTGGCCCTGGGAGGCTGAATTCCCCTTAGAGATAGATGGTCTCAACCCCTATACAGGCTCAAATTTACATAAGAAGGGGTGCCCTGTGGTTTTTGTAAGCTTGGAGCCAGTTCATGCTTTTTCTTGTAAGATAGGAAAAATCTGTGTTTGAACTTTTCAGAGGGTGCGAGGAACATGCAGGACTGGGGACTCATCCCTTCAGCGAGTATTTATTGATCTGTGGCTGTCTCAGTGAGGAAAACAGAAGCCCCTCCCCGATGGAGCTTGCGTGCTGGGAGGTGGAAGTGGAGACAAATAACGACAAGTAGACCTTCAGAGGATGTAGGAAGTCAGCACAGGAGAGCATGCAGGTGGTGGGTGGAGGCCCCGCAGAGAGGGACTTCCTGCAGAGACAGAGAGGTGGGGGCACTGTGGCCAGGAGGCTGCTGGGGATGGGTTCCAGGCTAGAGGGCCTGGGAGGAGTGGCCAGAAGCCCCCTTGCCCCTGGTGGCCCAAGCATGGGAGGGGGATGGTGGGGGAGGGACAGCCAGGCCAGATGGGCCTAGCGGGGCCTTTGGAATGATGGTGATTTCTAGGGAAAAGATGGAAGTGTTGGAAGATTTTGTGCACAGGAGTGTCCTGGCCTGGCCTGTGTTCACAGGGTCCCACGGTGGCTCTCCTGGGATGGGCCACTGGGGGTGGGGGCCGTGGTCACCGTGGGAGACAGCGATGAAGCAGGTGGGGACCTGTGGTCCAGCAGGGGCAATGGCCAAATGGTACCTCCTCGGTCTGTTCTGACAGGAGGTCCCCAGCTCTGCGAGCCACCCGCCCGTGACTCTGCGGGTTTGGCTCCAGCATAGAGCATGGAGCCGGACAGGTCAGGAGTTTGGGCAGTGGACCCTGTGCCACCATTGACCCACTGGGCACTGCCCTCTGTTTCCACGAGGGCCAAGGGGGCTGCTGGACTTGGGCCCAACGTACAAACATGGGTGCAGCCGAGATGGCACGGGCAGCCTCACGATGAGGGCGGTGCAGAGGGCGCAGGGAGGGGCTCTGCGCCCCACCCCAGCCCCACCCCCACAGCCTGTCCAGACCCTGCAGCCCCCGAACCCAAGCCCAGGTCTTTCTAAGATGGGCCTCCCGTCCTGTCCCTGCTCACTTCTGACCTGTGTTGCAGCCAAGGCGGCCCCCCGACAGCCTCCGCCTGTAGCTCCTTGCTCATAGTGGAGGTGAGTCGTCGCCTAAAAATATTTCCATTAAATCAGATGGTGCTACTGCCTTGCGCAAAGTCCTGCAGGGGCTCCCCACTGGCCTCAGGCTGCCTTCCCCTGGCCTTGCTCCCGGCTGCCACTGCACCCCCCCTCCTGGGTCTGTCTGGGCCCCTCCCTCCGCCTCATAGGCCCCTTCTGGGGCTGAGCGTCAGGGTCACCCTCAGGAGCCTTCCCTGAAGTTGGCACCCACTTTTCCTTTTCTTGGAATCCTGCTTTCCCTCCAGTTGATTTCACTTCTGTTTGTGTTCTTGATCATGTGTTTGCCTTGTTACTGCTTGCTCTTTGTCCAGACAGCCCCCTGGCCCCAGGAACATGTGGGCCGTGCCTTCCCTAGCCCTGTGGCCTTGGCACCATGGGCTCCTGCCGTCTGTGAACTCAGGAAGGGGGCAGGGGCGCGTGGTGAGAGGGTAGGTGCGCTGGAGCAGAAAGCCTAGGTTGCCCGTGACGGGAACAGTGCTGTGACTAGTGACCCAGGGCAGCTGGGAGCTCGCCCTCCCCTCCCAACCGAGCCTCCCTCCACGTATCAAACCAAGCTTGGCTCAGATTGTCGGCAAGGAACAAGTTTGAGGTTTTCAAAATCTCTTTTGCAGTTTCTTTGGTTTTTTTTAAGATTTTATTTATTTGACAGAGACACAGCGAGAGAGGGAACACAAGCAGGGGGAGTGGGAGAGGGAGAAGCAGGCTTCCCGCTGAGCAGGGAGCCCGATGCAGGGCTTGATCCCAGGACCCTGGGATCATGATCTGAGCCGAAGGTAGACACTTAACGACTGAGCCACCCAGGCACCTCTGCAGTTATTTTTACTGGAAGTAATAAAAATGTACTTGCTTTTTTGATTTTTCTCCCAAGAAATGTGGCTCATGGACGCTTTCCAGCACTAAGCCTCAGTAACGTGTCACAGGAGATAGTTCCCCAGTTTCGAAGAATCTTTCAGTAGCGTTCCCTCTGTGTCAGTTCCGTTTAAGTGCTGCCTTTTCCTAGTTGTTGACATTTGTTCACCATCAAGTACGTCTGTGGGCCAGGCAGCTGTGTGGTGTGCTGGGTTGGCGCCCTCTGCATGACACCCCGTCTTCCACTCAAGAGTGTGTTCCCTCTGCCTGCAGGTGGAACGTGGTGGGCGTGCAGGGGTCCCTGCTCAGCATCTTTGTGGAGCCGATCTACTTCTCGAGCATCATCCTGGGCAGCCTCTACCACGGCGACCACCTCTCCAGGGCCATGTACCAGCGGATCTCCAACATAGAAGACCTGCCCCCGCTGTACATGCTCAACAAGCCTCTGCTCAGCGGCAAGTACCCCTGCAGCATGGCTGTGTCAGTGTTCACATGACCTCATGACCTCGCTGGGCCGTGTTGGGGCCTTGCACTCGGTGTTCAGATAACCCTGTTGGGTCATATCAGAGTCTCACACGTGGAAACGCCATAGGGAAGCTGCTGTCTGTCAGAGCAGAGGGCGGGAGGCCGTGTTGCAGGGCCTCTGGGCCACTCAAGTGGGTCCTCATACAGTTCATCTCTTTACTGATCAAAAACCTTGCCTTTTATAGATGAGTTACTGCCCAGACTTGGCACCTGCCTGTTTTTCTTTCCCTTGTATGTATGTTTTCAAGTCCTGTGTCAGTGGGAGAGACTCATAGATGCCATGGAAAGTATGCGGGCGTCAGCTGTCCAAGATGGAGTGGGGCTGGTCATCTCGGTGCTGGGTTGCCACCTCAGAGGGAGGTTGGGGATGGAGTTTTGCACACCGGGGATGGGTCAGTGATGCGGCGGTGGTGCCTTGCACCGGCCCTGAGTGTCTGTGGTCACTGGTTCATTTGCTGTGTCCCCTTTAGCATCTCAGTGCTGACCAGTGAGGGAGCAAGAACTCTTGAATGCAAGGGTCCTAACTTCTCAGTTCACCCCTCTTTAAAGGACACAGTGAAGGTATTTTTATCCTTTTGAAAATATCATTTTACTCACTTTTTTAAAGCTCAGAACTAAAACCGTAATCCAAACTAAAGCGTGTGTTTTTTTGGTGTGTGTGTGCGCACTGCCTTGTCTGTGGTGCTTGGCTGCTAGCCCGCCTTTACTTGGGGAAGAGCAGTGTGGCATTTTAGGTGAAGTCATGTCTGTTAGAGCACAGAAATTATGCAAAACGGAGAAAACCAGTGGTTGTTTCTGATCACATTTTACAGCTCCCTAACTTTAAGCATTATTGTTTACGAAAAAATACTGACTCTGCTAAAACTTGATAGTGATTGCCGCTGAGCGTCCACAGGCATGGCGCCTCCACTGGGAGAGAGGAGGTAGCGTAAGTATCCTGTCATGTTAGAACATGAACTTCCATGATGCAGAAAACAGTGTTCCCTGCGTGGCCCCCATGGTCTGTTTCGTTGCAGCTGCTAGCTGTCTCGCGCCTGGCGCATGAGAGGCGCTCTGATGTTGCCGGACCAGCGCCATGCTGGCTCGTGTTGCGTCCAGGGCTAACGCGTGCAAAGACAGGTCATGTCGCTGGGGGCATGTTGTATGATTTTGAAAGGGAAGCTCACTTATACAAGTCAGGTGCGTTTTTGTCGTAGGGTGTGTAGATGAGTGTGCATACACCTATGAAAAGATAGCGAAAACAGCGTTTGCAAGGTAGAGACCCTGAAGTCGTCCTCTGTGTATTTGTTACGAAGACCAAGTCTGTCGCAAAGTAACAGAGCCTGCTCTTCGTTCCCCTCTACCCAGCATCACTTCCACTGCCGTGCGATTTTGGTGGATGCGTGCCTGTGGGTGCCGAGGCCCTGCCGAGGAGCCGGGTGGTCTTGCGGCTTTGACAGCCTGGATTCCCGGTCTTCCCCGTGACGGGGCCGGGCCGGTGCCCTGCACGATCCTTCTGGACAAGTGTGCAGGAATTCTGTGAAATACGGGGCAGCACCGGGGTTTCAGGACGCAGAGTAGTTCTCGAATGCTGAGCCACTGGACAGCATCACTCTGCCAGCAAATTCCATTTCAAAATGCAAACTATTCGAGATATTTTACTTTGGATGATGCTTTATTTTAGAAACTGTGGTGGTGTTTTTCCTTGAAGAGAGCTCAAGTCCTTGCAGCAAGCAGCTTTGGAGATGTCTTCGTTCTGTGGCGGTCAGCCGGGGTGGTGCAGCGCAAGCTGGGGGAGCCAGGGGCACCAGCAGGGAGGAGGCGCGGATGCTGCTTGGCCACATTGCAGTCTAAGGCGGATGATATGGCGGGTATTATCACGGACAGAGGGACTCAAGCAGGGGGAGCCTAGAGCAGAGTATTGACGTCCTACATCTCAGGTTTGGGAGGTCACACTCCTGTAAAATGGGCCCCACGGCAAAGCCCTTCAAACTTTCTTGGGAGGGAAGTCTTCCATTTAACAAGGGACCTGGACAGTGGAACCAACCGGGACATTGGAGGTTGTCTCCTTCGGGTCACGTGCATTTGTGGTGCGCTTGTATTTTCTACAGTTCATGGTGTTGGTCCTGCCCTTTCACCTCCCATTTTATCACAGGTGGTTTCTGCGTTCAGGGAGAATGATGGTGCGGCAGTACCCAGGTGTGCAGCATCCCCAGGGAGGAACAGGGGTAGCCAGCTGGGCCGTGCAGGGAACAGCCCGTTAAGCAAAGACCAGAGCAGACCCAGGTGTCGTGCTGGGCTGGCTTCTTTCGTGCCAAGGACAGATGAGAAGGATGTCATTTTCCTTCCAGCATAGAAAGTAGATTTTTACGAGAAGAAAGAACTTGTCAGTGGTGAGCTGCCTCCGTGGGGCCAAGAGCACATGCTTGACACCCTTCCCTGGTGTTTCGGACGTGGAAGCCTCTTGAACTCTTGTATCTTCTTTCCCGATTAGTTTCCGATCTGACACCTGCAAGCTTCAGAATAGTTCTGGCTTCTGATTCACATCTGTCTGCCCCTGAGTCTGAGCTTCTGTGCTGGCCGGGCTGCCGTCCAGGTGCATGCCGAGACCTCAGGAAGAAAGGCTGCAGTCTGAACCTTCCCAGGGCCCCAGGGTCACGGCTGGCCGGGCTGCCAGCGTGGACACAGAGCGTGACCGCCAGGGCAGTGCCAAGGGAGCGAGTGGGTTCTCGTGAGTCCAGTCAGTGCGGGGCCCCTGGGAAGGCAGCGGCTGAGCGTGTGACCGAAAGAAAGCAGGGGTGCTGCTGGCCTGCCAGGCGAGACCCATGCACCTTCCACCCGTGGAAAGCCACATACCTGCTCGTCGTGGTTGGAGGAGCTGACGTCTGCCTCTTGCCCTTAAGCGCACGAGAGAGGGCAGGTGTGAGGGAGTGGGTGAGGGGGGCCCGAGGCCCGGAACGGCCTTGGGAAGAGTTTCCTCAGAGGAAGGTGCAGGAAGTGCTCGCGCCGGCGTGACGCCAGTGCCTGCCATGGACACGGCAGCTTCTGGTGGGAGGCCACCCGGGCGACCTGGAAGTGCCTTCTAAACTCTTTAGTTCTGTGGACGCGGTTTGCTTGTTGTATTTTAGAAATTCTCTCTGTGGGGGTCTTTAGTGGAGAAGTAGCTACTTATTGACATTGTTGAATATTTTTCAGAAATAAGTTGTTACACTTGATGGAGTGTTGTTCTCAATCCACGTCCTGGGCATATATACACTCCCTCCCTCACAGTGGGGCGAGCTGCAGCCCCTGCACCACCCCACCCTGAGCACACGCAGAACAGAGTCATCCGCGCTGCTGGCTGGGCGTGTGTCCCCACCTTGCTTGGCCTCCTCCCTCCTGCATCCAAAGTCAAGTCAGAGACCCTTCCCCTGTCACCCCCACGGCCTGTTGGTGGGGTGGAAACTATAGAACTCAATACACCCAGCCCCATATTGCCTCAGGAATGTGGAGTCTGGGTGAGAATCCTGCCTGCGTCCCTGGGTCTGCGTGATGGGTGCTCCCTTAGGCCAGGCTGCCAGCATCACACTCGTCACTCTGGACTAGAGCGCTCAGGCTCTTCCCCAAAGTCGGTGTTGTAAAACCCCAAGGTCGAGTTCCAAGAAGGAAGTCTTATGGCCAGAGGCGCTGGTGTGAAGGGACCTGGCTGGGGTTAGCGGCCACACAGGAGGACGAGGTGGGGCCCAGGCCAGGAAGAGCCTGCGCCTTGCTGCCCTGCTGGCTTCATTCACTTCCATGTCAGCTCAAGAGTCGTCGTCTTTAACAAAAATCAGAATGGCAGTCTCACGGGTGCTCTGCTCCCAGCGAAAATGGCAGCCTTTCGGACCCTCGTGGTCTGCAACATAGGCTCAGGCCCAGGTGTCATCACTGCTGGTGGCCGCACACTTGGTTTCTGGATGGACTCCTACCCAGGTCTTGCATTATTTGCAGAACAGAGGCCACCTTCATCGAGATTGTAAACTATACATTTTTCTGGTCAGCTAACAAATGGCTGACAGTTTCTGTAACAGGAGCCTCTAGTGACCCTAAATATCTGTTACTGACCATTATATACATAATTCACTTTTGATTACCCATTAACATAGGAGAAACCGTAGACAACAGATTTAGGAAGGGGACTAAGCAGTGCCAGTGCCAGCTGGTGTTCTCAGTTGTTCACTGTGACCGTCATCAGGCCAGCTCACAGTTTGTAGTTTCGCTCCAGAAACTGGATCCAGCACACTTAATTTACAGCAGCTGAGGGACTCTTATTGCCAGCCAAGCTGCACCCGATTCTGTTGGTTTCTGCACCACGGCCTGTGATTGACTCATTACCCTAGTTCTCGCTTTGTGGCCCCAGAAAGATAAGCTCCTCATTGGTGCCCGTCCCCATGGTGGTGTTGGCCCCAGGGACTCATAGACATACATACACTCTTGTGACCATTTGGGGGCTTTCTGCCCCAGAAAAAGCATATGGTTTGCATTGAAACTTCAGGCTAGCTATTTCTTTTTGCCTTATTTTCTCCATTCTTGCTAAAGATGGCACTTTATTTAGCTTAAAATATAAAAACAATTTGTACTTTAAGGTCTTATTTTCTCAGTTAACTCTTTCTAGTTCTAATATGCAAAATGTTGTAATTCTAAGGTTTAAGTATTCAAAAATAATCCTCTATTTTGACCTTATTGTAAAGAAGCAATAGAATTGCAAAGGAGGATAACACAAGCATTATCCATTTATTCGTGGAAGAGTCAATTCCATTATGGTCAGAGATTCCCCACCAATTGTTCTAAACAGGTCCCCACCTCCACTCCAGACCCTCAAGAAACCCTCCCTGATTCTGTCTACTTGAAAGGCCATGCCCTTGAATGAGCTCAGTGACCTGAAGGAACCTGCATGCCAGGCAGGTGTCAGAAATAGAACAGGTGTGCTAGT